AAAGCATTCAGCTGCTTTTTGGTCACACATACATTTTTCATAACTACAGGTGTCAATATCATTGATACACTCAATCGACGATGATGTATTCAATTTGAGGAAAGTGTGTTTTGATCACCAAATTTATTTCTATCGAAATAATCACCACAAAACTATACTTTTGATCGCCAAATCAATTAAAGAACATTTAAATTAAAAAAAATATATATAAGAAGAATACATAGCAATTAATTAGCAATGATTACCAATTAATGAGTAGACAGACAAGAAAAATAATATAAAGAAAAGAAATATGAGCAGAACAGAAGTTAAATTTCAACGGTTGAAGTTTTTCGAAATTTTATCGTCAACAGTTGAAGTTTTTTGAATTTTTTTGTCGACTCATAAATGGTTATAAATAACTACCCTAACCTGTACATGACACCATTCAAACAATGTCGAAGCAAGATTGGAACGTTTTGTGCACAGTCCAATCTTATGAAGAAGCAAAGAATTATTCAAATCGCAATACAACGTATGCCAATGTCGTCGATCAGATTTGAAGAATCATACGAAGTATTCGTTCAAATGCGATGAGTAGAGAAAATATCCATGATGTTTTTTTGAAATTCAGATAGTCGTACCAGATAACGATGTACAAGCAGTGACAGTTATGTCAAGAGGTGTACATGAACATTAAGACGAGGAACGTAATACAACTACACGCTTACTGTCACCAGTTCGTAAATCGGTATCGAAATACATTAAATGTGGCTTATCCCACACTCAAATTAAATCATCATTAGTGCAAGATCATCCAAGCACTCCTTTAACAGAAACAAAATTAAGAAGTTTAGTGAATTATGAACGACGAAAGAACAGACCAGAAATATTTTCAGTGTCTGATTTATGAAACTGGTGTAAAGAACATAATGAAAGTAACCAGATACATTCAACATTTGTGCCTTTTTATACTGTAGATGATATAAATAATACGTTCGTATTATTTAGAACGAAATAATTATTCCAACAAATTCGATCAACAACATATTTACAAGTCATTGATCCGTACTGTCAAATCATTGATTCATACTGTCGTTGACCAGAAAATGATAACGAACCGGCAGAAACGGATGATATGACAATAAGAAGACATGTCATGAGGCAAAAACACAATATTTTTTAGTTTCAAGTGTTGTTACTGCCGTGCATACAAATTAACGATTCTAATTTCTGATGAAAAATAAAGCCTATTGACTGTTTTTATGGCTTGAAGATAGATTTGACTTCAAAAACAGCTTTTAAAACACTGATAATATAAAATATATAAAACAATAGTTTTTTAAAGCTTGATTCTCAGGAATAAAAAAAAATAATTTATTAATTTCATGACTAAATGAGGCCTGTCGCTTTTGGCCTCAACAGTAGTATAACAGAACAACAACAGAGCACAGGAATACAAGAAGAGCAAAACAGCACAATAGCAGAATAGTAGAATACTAGAGTAGGAGAATAATATAATACCAGAATATCACAGTAGTAGAAGAGTCGTATAGTAGAACAATAGAATAGTACCTAATTCTTTTTTCGTTATGTGATTTCAGAGTGCAAGTTTAAAGTTTTTACAAATGAAGAAAAGACTACCGCGCTTATATACCGAACCTATCGTGACCATAAATCAAAGTATCTTCACAATTCTTTTCTTCACTGTCATCAGCTGATGGCTTCGTTCATGAGACAACGATTGTGCAACTGCAGAATTAGTCGTAATATATGTGTTTCACACTCCGCAGCTGAAAACGAATTAAAACCTTGGATAATGGATTAGGATTTGCTGTTGTACCATATGCTCTATCTAGTGCGTAAAATACAGATTATCGTCGGTGAGTTTTTCATTTTCGAAAAACACGTTTTATCATGAGAGTTAAGCAATACGACGCTCACTCTCTTCCCGCTGCCACTCTCCCCTTCCAATTGACACACCTGACGTAATCCTCTTTCTATTTTCACCAATATATGACGTATATGGCATAGTTGAATAAGAAAAGAAAATATTTGCAAATCATCGAAAACTAATAATAACATATTTTATCATGAAAAGATCAAACTATTTGTGTAAAGTATATAATAAATAAATTAACTTTTTGCGTTAGACCAATCGAATCTATGACTGACATAAGCGATTCGTTCACTCGTCGCCGCCTCATAACCTAAACATTTTATATTTAAATTTATGAAATGGAAGTTAGGGATAGCTTTTTGACAAGAGTTATTGTACACTCATAGGAGAGAGCATTTTAAGTTTAGTTCTTATTTGTGATGTAGACTAGGAAATAGCCCTCCAGTACACTTAGCTTCTCGGAACCAGATATTCGGTTCTGGAAATGCAGAAATCAATTACCAAGATGTGAACTCTGTGTTTAAACGCCCTGTGAAACTACCTAGGTCACTGCAAGCAAAAAGTAAATGACAACACTAGAGCAAGCGATTGAACAAAAATCTTGATTATCACACGTTCAAGTATCAATATGGCAAAACAAAACCGTTAAAAGAATACAACTGTCGTTTTCCAAAATTCTCAAATTTTCAGTTTGATCTTTATTATTACATAAATAGTTTGATCTTTTCATGATAAAATATGTTATTATTAGTTTTCACTGACTTGCAAATATTTTCTTTTCCAATTCAACTATGCCATATACGTCATATATTGGTGAAAATAGAAAGAGGATCACGTCAGGTATGTCAGTGGAGAAGGGGAGAGAGGCAGCGCGAAAAACTGAAGAGTTTTTTATCTGGTACTTTTAGACTCGACAAAAAAAATGTAAAGGGTTTTTTATTTTTGATAAAAAACCGCCCGTTTTTCATTTTGCAACTGTCACGAACGCTTTTAGTTTTTTGGAAATAAAAAACGGAAAAGCGTTTTTTAAAAGGTTTATTGGTTTCTATAAACCCTTTCTGATAGTTTATTAATCTACGACTAGTTTTTAGAGTGTACTTGGTGGGAAATGTCGAGAATTACAATTTGGGAAAGGTTAAATTAACAGGAACATCATTCTATGGATTAGAAGCCCAATTATTTTACAGTGTTAATAACGGACCAGCTTACACTTTTCTTCATCGCAACTTTATCTTCTGCAGAAGACGATTACCATGCAAAATGAGGCGACAGCCAAATGAACGTGAATGATCACAGTTGTTAATTGTAATACGAGCTCATACGTCGTGACTAATAAGAGAAACGCATCATTTGGTGAGTGATGATAAGAAATATCTGTATCTTCAAGTAAAGCACCCGCAATGGAACCATTTTCGCAAAAAGAATCTACGAGTCTTCACACTTTCAGTATTTGCAGACAATGATAAAGACTATCTATCGTAAAAGTGTGCGCTTGGACGGACATATGAATCGGCAGTTATACTGAAAATAAAAGTAAAATCTAACTGAATCGCTGTAGGTCGCACAGCGTAATCTTTGATTTCTCATTTAGGTGTGATAAAATTCTCAATATTTTTTATCATTTCTTACACTAACTCTGGGCTCTCTTTTGACAAAAGGCGATCAAGATTCAGCTCAATTTTTCAGCTCAATCAAATTTTTCATACTGGAAGGCATGTAACTGTCTAACGGGACACTATGGTAGCTGTTGCTATGATCATGTACCACCATTTCATGGAGATCGTTCGCAAAACGAAATATTTATTTCAGCAGTTTGAAACACTGAACAAAGCTCTTCGAAATAATTCCTAAAACAATAATTTTTACACGTATTAGCCTACATAGGATGTTAATTATTTTGTTGCCATAGAGCGGAAGCATGTTAAAAGTTTATTTTAGCTTGCTAGCTAGCCAAAGACATAAACTGTCTATCCTGAAAGAATCGTTAAATTACATTGAGCTGTTACTTCGTTCTACGCAGATGTATCATTTTTGTGAAATGACTTTCAGGTTGTAATTCTTCCACATATATGATGAATTCATCTGTATATTTCGAAAGTATAGGAATATTGAGACTATGAAAGAAAAAGTCTTATATGTAATTAACGTGAAAACCTGCGTAGAAACATAGTGGTTGAAAGAACTAGTTTTTATAGAGCCTATAAACTAATCCCAGGTCGAAGGATCGTACTAAGATCGTATCTGAATCAGACAAAATCGTACCAAATCGTATGAAAATCATATATGAATCGTGGTATCTGATTTGTCCTCTGGATCGTATAATACGATCGTACAAGATCATATACGATCATACAACTTCGTATGAAATCGTACAGTACGAGTCAGACGACAAATCAGGTACCACGATTCGTATATAGATCGTACATAATCGTATATGATTTCGTACGATTCGTATACGATCTTGTACGATCGGATAGTACGATTCAATCACCTGGGAACGTATGTTTTTGATTATTTCGAAAGCTTGAAGATGTTTTTTCTGGGCATTAATTTACACAAATGATTTTCATCTTTTTTTCATAGCCTTACATTGATATATTTTTCGAAAATCTACATAGGTAAAATCATCACATATGTGCGTTGGTTTACGTACGTTTATTGCGCTACAATTTAAAATTAATGTTGATTTTTTCTTCTCTATTTCCCCATGATCGATTCTGTAAGACATGTTCATGCAGGCACACCTTATGTGTCACCTTCCAATTATTCATCTCTCTCTACCATCAAAATACCATCTGTGCTGCACCAAACGTTTATGTACAGCAATTATACATCGAGAATAGATTGATTAAACATAAACTGTATCAAACAAATTAGACTCAAATACATTCACACCGCATCTCTGCGTGTACAAATTTCGCTACCATATGAGAATGATCTTAATTTTCTTTTTCTGTCTTTGTCGATGTGGAAGGTCACACTTGACTAAGCTAATTAAAAGGAAAAATGCCGAAGGAGAGAGAGAGACATTAATAATTAGATCATTCAACTGTGACGTGACTTATAAAATCAATAGATTTTCTTTAAATATTAACATTATTTTAACCTGCAAAACGTCGTCATGACTATTAAAAAATATTTAGTTCTTAGTCTGTTAGTGTTAGTTACATGTGTTCATTGTTATATTATTGATGATGAAGAAATGCAATTAAGAGAACGTTCATTTGTTGATGTCGATAACGATGCTGAAGATAACAATTTACAAGAACGACTAAGTCATAAACATCGTGCAATTGCGGCTGATGATGATATGTCACGCAATGATTTATTAGAATATTTATTCAATCGTCGAACGTTAGAGAGAAAACGTCAGACAGGTGTTTGCGGAAGAGACACTAATGGTCAGTCCATTTACTGTCAACCATCATCACTTCTTTGTGTAAATGTAAGAACTGGAGCTACTACTCGTTGTTCTACATGTCCAGCAACAGCGACACCCCAAAATAATCCGTGTGGACCTTGGTGTGGTTGGTATTTATATGGCTATGCACCTCGTGGCGCTCCATCTTGCGCACGACCTACCTCTGTTGCATCGGTCTATAATCAGTGTACCGTCTGTGCATCATATAAATGTCCATGTGTAGCTACTGCAGGTCGCAAATAGAATAAACATGACACAATATACTAAGACATACAAAAAAGATTCTTATCCTTTTCTCTCGCATTTCATATTATCCTTTCGTAGTATTTATCTTCATTTTATTAAAAAAAAATCAATAATAATATCCACAAATGATCGACTTAATGATAGAAAATCTCTGTACAGGTACGCAAAAATCGTTGTTCAAATGAAACTGTAAAGAGTTAGGCGCGACATGAAAAACTGATCAATCTATGACTTACCATGGAGACCACAATGAGAACCATTATAAACAGATAAACGAACTGTATCAGTGTTTGCTTTTACTGCTGTTATTTCAAAAGGAAATTTAACATGTTCTTTATACAGAGGCAAGTGCCCTCTTTAAGTGCAATAATTCATCATTTTCATTTTTTTAAAATTGATTTTATACGTCATAGAAAAGACAACATTGTTCAAACTAAGCAATGTAATATTAAAATTTCTTTGTACCCTAGACAAACATTTTTCGTTATTTCTGGTAAGAATCTTATCCGAGTCTTAGCGAATTCGTACATAAGAAGTCCGCATGAGAATGCAAGATTCTCGTACGAATCTGATAAGGCTCAGGTATAAGAATGAGCTATGACTTTGATAAGACGCTCCTATCACTTTGTTATCGCTTCCTTCTGCAATTCTTACTAAAAGCCAATCACCGTTTTATTTTGCACATACTATATGAGCACCATTGGTTTAGAAATTTTTTTTCAAAATTTCTTCAAGGTAGGTAAGAGTGATCGTTTTGAAAATGCTTCGGCATCTCTTGAACTGTACAGCTAATTAAACAAGAAAGGAAAACATTGGAAGTTTTTGTCAGTGCCCTTTTCTTGTTGAATTCTTACAGGATTCTTAACTGATTTTTATTTGCTCTTCATCAAATTCTTGTCACTTTCATGCGAACTTCTTATGTAACAATCTAATAAAATTCTTATACGACTTTCTAGGAGTCGTGGCGGATACTTATAAGTTTCTTATCAGATTCCTACAAGATTCTTTTGTAAGAATCGATCACTACGGTATCAGATAACGACACAAAATAGAAATAGGAAAAAGTCTTTTCTTCAGTTCGTTGATTTTAACTGCCACTAAAACTATCATTATTTTAATCGCGTTAGTTACATAGTCAACAATTGAATATTATCATTCTACTTCTACGAGTAGAAAATTAGAACTGCAAAAATGAAACAGGGCATCATTTTACAAGAAAAATCTGGCGCGGTTGGGTTTTCAAAAATTGGGAATGACGCCGAGATTCCGAAAAAATTTCAAGCCTATGGGGGCGCCTATGAGGGGCCTATGAGATCGAAAATATTAAACTCGCAGAAGGAAGCGATAACAAAGTGATAGGAGCGTCTTATCAAAGTCATAGCTCATTCTTATACCTGAGCCTTATCAGATTCGTACGAGAATCTTGCATTCTC